TCTCTCTGTCTTTCTCTCAAGTTCTGTCTTTTTCACTCTTGCTGTTTATTTATTTTTTTTCTATCGCTTTCTATTTTTCTTTCCTTCTTTGTTTCCCCTTTCCCTCTCTCGCCTCTCTCACCTTCTTTCCTCTCTTCCCTTTTCCCTCTTCCATTCCCTCTCCCTCCTCTTTTCCCCGCCACTCTCTCCTCCTCCGCTCTCCATCTCTCTAGCTCCTCATCTGCCACACATACAATTATCGAAGTTCAAAATTCCATCTTCACGCCCCTGATAAGATGGCGTTTTGGTCACAGGCCGTTCGTTATGTAAGGGCTGGTCGTGTTTGCTAGGCAGCGAGGGGACTGTTGCCAACTCGAGACGTGTCGTTTCCTGTTATCCTCGCTATTCCAACGCTTTCGCACAAAAGCTAACGCACACACACACGTACGTACAGGCGCTCGCGCAGACACCGCACAAACCGCAAGGCACATGTGCACCGCAACGCAGTGAACCACAGAGGTGCACATACGAACACACGTACGTTCATAAACACACACACACACACACACACACACACACACACACACACACACACACACACACACACACACACACACACACACACAACACACACACACACACACACACAAACACACACACGCTACAAACACAACTTTTTTCCTAACAAACACAAACACGCTTCCCAGTGACCTTACACACACACACTCCCCCCCCCCATACACACACAAGCACGAGTACACAAGTACACACACACTCGCACACGTACATAGAGTGTAAGGCGCATGCCAAGCCAAGCCTTTCCACCTGTAGGGCGAAGCGAGACCTAGAGATGCCAAGCCAAGAGACCGAAATAGCTAGCCATGAGCGCTGTTAATACTTGTCACTGTGTGTGTGAGGGGACAGCACCTCCGGATTATACTTATTATTACTTATTACACATTGCATTTCCGTTCTGCGCTGGGTTCTACGGAGATGGTGTGATTTTTCTCGGCAATTTTATATATCCCCGACTGAAGTCCCTGTTTGTTGCTCGGAATGGCCGCACGGGTTGTCGTTATGCTCCCTTGAGAAAGTTTACATGCATGCTCCTTTATTTTCTCCCTATTTTTTCGCCCGCTTCCGTAGGGACAGACCCTGTGGATTATTGATATTCAGTTCAATAAGAGTACCGTCGAACGCTCCTCTGAAAAAGAGAAATTAATGATTAGCTGAAATAAAGATTACATACATGCTCCCTTATCTTATTATTTCGGTACTGGCGACAGTACCTTAGGTTTATTATTAGACTTATTGCCCTCCCATTTTGCGCTAGGTAAGACCTTATCTTATTTTTATAACTCTCGTTACAGGGGCACCATTTAAGCTCGTATAATGCTCTTTGAAACTGAAAAAAAAAAGTATATAGACATGCATGTGTGTGTGTGTGTGTGAGTGTGTATGTGCTTGTTTATATTATCCTAAAATCATGAATGATGGTAGTTATTGTACATATATTCTGCGCTCGGACTTAGGAATGATTTAGTTCAACATAAGGACTTTATAACTCTATTGAGTCTTGGTATCTCCCTACTTGTCTACCGCCTAGGTTCCTATGCGGTTCTTAAATGATATTAATAATGATAATAATAATAATGATCTTGATAATAATGATAATTACGCAACACCCCTTTATTCTTTCTTTATAATACTTATTCTCATGTATTCTCGGGTAACACGTCCATATGACATCCACGCCAAACGACTTCAAAATATTTCATTCTTCCGTCGAAAACAAGCCGCCAGAACTCGCTACAAAGTTTCTTAAATTCTCAAGGAGCAACCTCGGTCCTTGCGAAACCCTGGCCACAATACTTCCGAAAATTCTCAAGTGCCACTCAAGTCTGTATAACCCTCACGCTCCAGTACTTCAGAAAAATCATAATTCTCAAGTAGCACCTCGATTATTTTAAGTCTCCCGCAGAGAACCGTATCAGAAATATTGGTTTCTCGAGTAATACAAAAGTCCTCAATTTCTATTTATTCTTTTGAGTTCCGTAATTCATCTTTTACTTACAGGCAAATGTGAATTAGAATTATCATAATTAATTCCAAATAATACTCTTCTAGATTATTTTGATTAAAAGAACCAACAATTCTCCTTTGTTTTCTCTACATCAAATATATTATGATTCAAAGTTCAATAATTGCCTGTTTTAATCTGCAAACCAACGCTTTTTTAAAGAATATTATTTAAATGCTCCATAATTGCCCCTGTCTGTCTACTCTATGCTGCATACATTACATATTACATATGTCTTACCTACCCCCACATCATGGCGTAAGGAGGGAGGTGGAGAGGGGGGAGAAGGGGAAATGGGGAAGGAGGGAGGGGGAAGGAAGGAGGCAGGCGAGGAGGGGTGAGAAGGGGAAATGGAGGAGGGAGGGGAGAGGGGAAGGAAGGAGGGAGGCGGAGAGGGGGGAGAAGGGGAAATGGAGGAGGGAGGGGGAGGGGGGAAGGAAG